ACAGGATACTAATAACCCTCACACCTTTTATGAATCATAACAGAATAGAGGAACTAGAGGGCAGTACACTCCAGGATCTTATACAGGATAGACGTTAGAGCTTAGCCCCCTTACTTGTACTTTTACTTCATTGACAGCTCTCAGGATGATATGAATGCGAAAATATTTTCGCGAAATACGAAAATTTTGTTAAAACCATTAACAACAACAATTAATTGCTCAGAAGAATTTGTGGAATTCTCTGCTCTTCAATATTTGAAGTTTTATTATGTCATATAAATAATTTCTCTTACTTTACTTTAATAAATGTTTGATAAAGAGAATTTGATTTCATTTAAGTTTCTGTCTGTCTGTCCACAATACATACGTTCAATTTTCGCATTATTTTTTTTCGTGAAATTTTTGCATTATTTTCATCGCGAAATTTTCACATTTAACCGCGAAATTTTGCGAAAAAAGCGAAAATTTTTGCATTTTTAGTGAGCGAAAGAAATGCGAGAATGAAGCAAAATGATCGCGTAAAAAAAAATTTCGCGAAACGATTTTTCCCTAAATCTAAATGAAACACTTAAAAGTTTATAAAGGAATTGAGTCTTTGCCACAAAAGCTGATTTTCTAATCCCTATATCTTTGCAACCCAATTTTGAACACCATAGATATTTCATACTATGAAATCTGTTAGAATAATTAATCTAAGTTTAAAATATTTAAGGTCCAAACCATAAGGCTACTAAAATATAGGAATTAGAAAATGTTTGTTTGGAACAAAGACTCAATTCCTTTTTATTTTACCTTTTCATCAGTTTTAATATAATTTACTGTTTCAAAAATCTTCTGAAAATGCCCATCTTGTAAAAGTTAAAAAATTCTTCCTTAATTCAATGTCGATGAAACTGATTTTTAAAATATTTCATATTAGCAAAAAAAGTGTACCAAATACAAAACAGAAACATCCCATAAAAAATAGAAACCGTGTACCACATAAAAAACATATTTATATTTTTTTTTAAATTATCAATGGGATGTTTATAGTATTTAACTGCAGTCTGCGTGGCAATAAAATTGATGAGTTTGCAGCAAAACTTGTTGATACATTTACGAATTTTCCAAAAACGTAAATTTTAATTACTTTTAGACCAGTATTTGGGATGCCGCCCTCGGTCTCAAATTTAAGTTCCGCTGAATATCTCTTAATTCTGCTAAAAGGGTTCCTTTCTTATACATTTTTTATCCATAACCCGGTGTCTATTAAAGATAGTGTCCAAACATTAAAAGAATTAAGGTTGTTCTTAATTTTATCACTGACAAAAAATATCAACAAAAACAATATTGTTTAAAGGGACTGCAGACATAATTTTAAGTGTTCTCCCATTTAGAGAGAGACATGTCCGATTCACAAAAGTACCATATCAAAGGTTTAAACTACCAGACTGCAAAGAAAAAGGTATTCAAATTTGAGTTTGTGGCAAAACTCTATTCCTTTGTCTGTCTGTTTGCACCCAATAAACGTTAAAATGGCTGAACCGATCGGGCCCAAGTTTTAAGTGGCGGCTCACATGACCCTATTCTAAATTCAATTTTGGAAATTGAATGAGCCGAAAAATGTACGGTTTCTATTCCGTAATTCGGAGAATTTCCAGACCGATATTCCAGAAAAGAATTGAGTCTTTGCCACAAACTAATCCCTATATCTTTGCAATAGACCTTTAATATTTTAAATTTAGATAATTTATGTTAACAAATGTCATAGCGAGACATATCTAAGGTCTATGACATTGGTTTGCAGAAATAAAAGGATTTGGACATTAGAATGTGTGGCAAAGACTAAATTCCTTAAAGGAAAATGAGTGGGGCGTGATCAGGGAATAGGAATAAAGGGAAAGGATATGGCGCTGGTCTGGCATGAGAAAGCCAGTTGCACTGCTTTGCAGACCAGTACTTTAAACTGACACACACTCTTCTGGTACAGACACACAACATGACTACAGTCAAGGAAATTGTAGAACAATGTCGTCGATTATAATTAAACTGGAATAACGAGTAGTTTATTGTAAACTTTAATCAAATTATATTCTTTGCATGAAAATTTGGCTTTATAGTGTTGACTTAAATATATAAATAATATACTACATGTATATTAAACTTATTTTAAAGTAAACAATTAACAATAAACAAATGTACTCTCCTAGACTGTACAAATACCGAGATTTTTACGTACTGTATAAACCTACAGTACACACCTTCGGTACTTTAAACTGACACACACTCTTTTGGTACAGACACACACACATGACGTTTCCGCCCCCTGGGCGTGATGTGCCCGAAAAGCATAGTTTAATGTAAAGAAACATTAAACATGGATAACTTAACCTCATTGTTGTAAGATAAAGGTTTTAGTTGCAGTACAGTTGTGTTTTGATTTATAAAGTTAATAGAGCCATGTCAAATTCGAAGAATATAGATTTAGTGTAAACATGAAATCATTCAACACACACTGTGATCTTGCCAGGGTACATTTGTTGCATAAAACGTGCCGGGTCGACTCTACATTGGGTATAGCTTGCCTGGGCAGTACAACTTAATGCATATACAGTATACGTGTTGTACCAGCACGGATCATGCAACTTTTAGACTGGGGTGAAGTAGACGTGACGGTGAATGTTGTGTAAGTATTTTATAGTATAGCTAGAGAATAATGGTATCATTTTTTCATCTATTTTTGTTGTCTATATAATAAAACAAGACATGCATATATACGTTCCTTATAGCCAGCCAAATGATTGGACTGAATGGGCTAACATTTTTTGAGGGAACCCTTGAGTACCCCGGGGGTAACATAGGCTAAAAAATTAGATTTTTCTTTATGAATTAGATTTAATTAAAAAGTTTTTTAAAATTCCATAGGCAACACTAAGCACTTCAGCTAGTATACAAGAAGAGAAAATGCTGAAAGATTGAGCAACAATTAAAGTATACAAGAAGAGAAAATGCTGAAAGATTAAGCAACAATTAAAAGTTAGAAAAGAAGATTAGCGCGAAGCGCCCACAAAGCTTATAATATACATCCCTGTACAGAGTGTCTCTAAAACCGATCTAAAACCCCAGTAGTTGATGCCAGAGTAACAGAATCTTATTCTGAACCGATTTTTGTTTCTCTGATTTTTAAATTATCTTTAAAAATGTCCGATCTATTGTGACACACATTTCTGTTTAAAGTTTAAAGTAAAAAAGTTTGAGAAATCCTCTGATCCATTATAGTTTTTGAACCTCGTTTTTCAACCGAGTTTTTTAAAAAACATTCATAAGCTTAAAAGTTTCAATCTAATGATACAATCAAAAAATCTGTTAAATGTATCAACAAATTGTTTTCTCTAATAAATTGTTAAGATCAAGTGATTACAAAAATTCAACTGTTAATGTCATTTGCTACAAATATGATAAAGGTTTTTGTTTGCACCACCATATAATGGGACAAATATTAAACATACATTAAATTTTCTATCAACATTTTACAAGGTTTTTGGTCGGTCTAATAGCTAATTTGAATGTAAAAAAAAACGAAAATCAATCAGAATTAAGGCATGGCATCAACTACTGTTTTGAGGGACACTCTGTATACAGGGGACATTAGTTCCAAAACTAACACTTGGCCCATTTCTAACACTGTGTGTTAGAAATAGGCACAAATTGAAAGACTGGCTTTTTGTGATCCCGGCCCATATCCAGAGTAAAAGTCGATAATAAAAACTATAACCAACATTTTATTAAACATGACGAGGACAACAATTCCCAATTTTAAATCTTTTTAAAATCAAAATTATAATAGGAGTTCTTTTAAGATTAAAGCTCTTGAGCGTTTTCAAGACAATGTTAGGTTTTCCATGTTCGAACATATCCTGAATTTAAAACATTGTCGCGTTTTCGAGACAAAACCACTTTCCCGTTTTTGAGTATAATCCACAATTCAAAACAAAACTCACTTTCATAACTATACAAAATAAATCACTAAAAACAAAAATTATTTTATGAGGACTTCTGAATTATTTTAGAATCTAAGTTTCCACATTTTATCTGTTAAATTAGAGAATATGGATGATTTATTTTCAAGCATTTTAAACAAACAGTTTCCCGCAATTCTAGTTAAATATATATTGTAAGAACAAATGATATTAATATTTTAGTTTCTAAATGCTGTAAGGATTTTTAAATTATAAAGGAAAAGTTTGTTTTTATTTTTAATTTTTTTATATTTTACCTTATCAAAAAATCTTGTTTTGTTTCATAAGTGCGTAAATACTTGAAATTGACATTGATATGAATTCCGGTAATTGTCTCAAAACCAGGATATGTTCCGAAAACGCGACATGAGCTGAAATACGGTAATTGTTTCAAAATAGGGATATGTTCGAAAATGAAATCAAGAATCCTCAAAAACTTATTCTCACACCTTATTATTAGTTTAAAATTAACATTTATTGTTTCAATAAATAGTTTTAGCCATATTAATATATGGTGTAATTTTGTTCTACTCGTCTTGGATTTAAAGATATATACTCTTGAAAAAGATAACTTTGTGGATTTGACCCATTTCTAACTCTCAGTGTTAGAAATGGGCCAAGTGTTAGTTTTGGAACTAATATCCCCTGGTATAGTGTATATGTGTATTATATTATGCATAGATGGTTAAAAAGACAAAATTCAAGAAATCATAATATCTAAATCTTATCTAACCTGTCAATAAACATGTTGCTGAAATATTTCCGTGTTTCTCATCCAATCATCACGCAATCCTTTATAAAATAAAATAAAAATCTTTATTCAGTAAAAACTATTTCAGAGATAAACAAGGATTTCAGTAATTTTCAATCTTTACTCACCTGCCTCTATACTTGAGTATGTTTCCAACTTTAATTCATTCTCGCTCATTACAGGACAATTCTAATCATTTTCAAAAATATTCATTTTTTGTCGAAAAATATTTATATATTTATTAAAAACTTTTTAATTATGGACTTGTGGCAGTCTTTTTAATGAAGATTAAAAAAGTACATAACTTTAAGAATTTCATAGTAAAAAAGTAATTTTCATTTGGTTTATGTTTATTTTTTGAGAATGTAAAAAATAACGAGTAAAAGAGTTTAAAAAAGGTAGCTGCAAAGTGTAAAGGTGAACTACAGGATTAAATCTATCATACATAGTTAACTTGAATGAAGAATTCAGGTTTGTTGCTGAGAATTCGCTGAATATCCTGATTGTCAGAAGCTTGGTGAAAATAAATCAAGGGTATATTATTGCGAGCAAACCAAACCACGCATTCTTCCTCAATATGAGCTCTGGTGTAAATGGCACCTTTACTGCTTTCTTCACAAGATATTCTAACAATCTCAAGATTTGCTGGAGTATCTAGCTTCGGAGCAATATCTGGTGGGTTTACGCCCTGTCTCTTCAGCTGTTCCAAGAATAATCTCTTTGATGTATGCACAACTGTATCAATAAGAAGAATATATTTTTCAATCTTCCTTTCAAGCAACTCTTTAACAATTCTGCTGTATAAAGAGGGGTCCTTAACGGACCCTTTCATAAAAAGATGATGATTGGAACATTCCATATTTATATAGTTGACAGTAAGAGGATCAACTTTCTTCATAATTGCAACTACTAAGAAAATTGTAGCTCTTAGAATTCTTGAATCCTCTTTCTCAAACAAATCTTCAGTAAAAACTACCAACGCACTACATTCGACTTCTCTGATACATTTGTAATTTGTAATCAAACATCCTTCTTCAGCTTTCCGGAATCGTTCAAGATTCTTCATATTATCTTTCAGTGTAAGATACTCAAATATTTCTATTCCTAACTTATCCAGTTCAGCTTTAACCTTGTCATAATTAGCGCCATCAAATCTGTCAGTATCCGATAGGAGAACAAATTTCCTGGTTTTCCCACTAACTGCATCTAGCGTTTTACCATAGAAATCATCTCCATTGCTAGTTATGTAAACAGGTGAAGGTCCTATTACAGATGAAAAAATTACGTCACTAGAATTATCTTGCATTGCTTGTTCATATCCGTATATGGAAGCAGTAATTCTTAGCACATATTTAAGTTGTATGAATTCCAAATCTTTGAAATAAAAATCATTAAATTCACAGTGTGGAGGAATAGATATGATCAGCTGTGCGCCAGCTTGACCATGTTTAGACAAAGATTTTACTACTTTTCGCAGTAACATCTTGTTCATGTTCTTCTTTTCTTCGTTATATGTTTTCATCATATTGTCTCCGAATTTGTCAATGATAATAGTTGATCTTGTTTCAACCTGTCTTTCCTGTACAAACTGAACAAGCAGAGAATAGAAATCTACTTCTGTAACAGCAGTTTTCTTTGCCTGGCATATGTCCTGTGCACTGTAAAACATGCCACCAATATTTTCAATTTCTTGTCGCATCAGGACGTTATAGATAGGACTTACACCTTCCCATGGGAGCAAGCAGGAAATGAATACAACTTTCAACCCCCTCTCCAACATTGATTTAACTTTACTGAAGAGAAGGGTAGTTTGCCCAGAACCAAATTCTCCTGACAAAATGATATTTGATGTATCTTGAAATAAAAACTGAGCATGCTCCTTGTTCCAGAATATTATACTCTCAACCGAACCAACTGGTTTTTCTTTCAAACTTAAAAATGAAACTGTAGAGCTGGGAGGCCATGGGTCCTGTGAGATACCAACCCCTAGGTCAGGAGTATTAAGTCCAATAAGTTTCTTCTTGGTTTCTTCAATCATATTTAAGGGAGGAGAACTGCAGTGTGCTGACGCCATCAGAACTTTAACCAACCTTATATATGATTCATCAATAGGGAACTTTTTGGGAAGATGAAGTAAATCTATGAAGCTTCCAGGCTGATTCATTTCTTGCCTGGTGACTATTTCAAGATTAGGATAATGTCTAAAAAACCATTCTCTTCCTCTCACCTAAAGCAAATGATAAGATTAGATTAGGAATTTGCTTAGAATCTAGATTTCATATCAGTTTCAAATAAAGAACCAGATGTTATTATGTTTTCTCAAAAAAACGATACAAGCTTTTATAGTTTATAAATAAAATAAAATCGACCTTTGAACTTTTTATGTTATAAATTGCAAAATCAGTCGTATTTTAGCAGTTTATGTAAAATTTAATTTGAACTCGATTGTACTTGTGCATTAAATGTACAAGATATTTTGAGAAAAATTAGATTATTATGAAAGAAGCTACGATAGATTCATTTATCTTAACTTTGAGTTTTTGCCACAAACTCTTATTTTCTAATCCTTTTATCTCTGCAACCCAATGTCGTGGACCTTAGATATTTCAAACATATAAATTCTGTTAGATGAAATAATCTAAGTTTGAAATATCAAAGGTTTACAAGATCAATGGCCGAATTTAAAGAATTTGAGCGGCGGTTTAAATTTAAGCCGCGGTTTAAATATGGTTGGTTCCACTTAAAATTGTATCAAATGTTTCAAGATTTAAACCGGCGCTTAATTTAAACCGGGTTTTGGCGGATTTAAACCGCGGCTTAAATTCTTTAAATTCCATCTCAGGTTGCGAAGATTTAGAATTAGAAAATTTGAGTTTGTGGCAAAGACTCAATTCCTTTACAATATTTTAAAATATAGATTCATTTATAAATTTAGAGGATTTATCCTATATATCCCTTTTGCCTTTTTTTACACATGCCATGAAAGTCATTTTTTGACTTTTTTGACTTTTTTAGCCCTTTAAATTTGGTTAAACAAATGCAAACACTGAAAACATGAAAACTATTGTTTAATGTTTACATAACATGATGTACACTTGTAGTCCATCTGATGCTTATTCTACTTTTAAACCACAATTATCAAAAAGTCGTAAATTCACAGTCCTAACTTATTAGACAAGTTAATTTTTTCGCGGCAAAATGAGATGAAAACGGCCCTTTGGAAGATGAAAAGGTAGTAAAATTGAGAGAGCTGAGAACTGGAAGTGGAGAGATACCATCGATCTTTGACAAAAATTTGTCAATGCAGGTAAGTTTGAGAGTTAAAAAGCACTCAAAAGTTTTACCCACTGAAAATGAGTTTGTTGAGTATAAAATTCATATTTGTCAACCCTTGAAATTTCCTGAAAAATTCAGTTTTATTAACTTAACTGAACTAAAACGAATTAACATCTTTTACCAGAAAGCTAAAATGTTCGTAAATAATCGTATTAAAAGCAGGAAACATTTTTTTGGGATCGTTTTTGGGATCGGGTTATCAGTTAAGGACTTACAAAATATAAACCAAAGTAAATAAAAGCAAAATTAGGCGGCTTCTAGTGTTCTTCTTACCCTTCGTAATAAAAATAAGTTTAACTTTTTCATTTCTTTTGCATTTTCTCTTTAAACATTATCAAACAGTAGCAATATAAGATAGATAAGATAAGATAAAATTTATTGCTAAAATAAATGTATCTGTATACATACAGATAGAGTTTACAATCACAAAATTGATGATTATATTTACAGTACAAGTATAAAGCAATTAGGTGGAAAATAGCTCTTGGCTGTTTTGATTATTTTTTCCACCTAATGTTAGTAATAATAACAAAATATTAAATAGATTTAAGGAGAACGATTAGAGATCAGGGTGCGAATTTATCATATGCAAAATAGTTTATACATAAATTCGAATAACTAGAGTTTAAAGTAATTTTCAGACATGTACACAACAAATATCAAAGCATATTAAAACATATCTAATTAGTTTTACATGAATAGCAATTCGGTTTATAACACATTGTCCTATAATTTTCAAAAAGAGAATTTAGAATATATAATTCAAAGATTTAACTTCGAATGTTTTTAAGGTATTTTTCTAGATTCTGAATAGCACAAAACACCCCTTGCCATGCCAGGTCTCACACAAAATTTGTGTTATAATGTTATAGCGTTTCTTTTAAACAAACCAACAAGAGACAGGGTGTCTTATTATATCATATTGGATTTAGCATTATATCTAAAGGGGGAATGTACACATTTCCCCTAAAATATAATAAAATACAAGGGCGGGGTCACGCCTTTATTTTTGGAGCTAGTTTTTTGAGATTTTGCATTAAGGTCAGATTAATGATTAATTCTAGGAAATGTATTTTACAAAATGTAAAAAATAAAAAATGTAAAAATATTTTTCCTGCTTTTTTCTATTTTTCAAGATTTTAGGTGCAAGTTGTTACAGTTTTTGGACAGTTTTGTAGGAGTGGATATAAAACACACAAAATGTTCAATAACAAAGTGTTCAGAGCAAAACGTCCAATGTTACAAAATCTCAACAAAAATCCCAGGTTTGTAATGTCCAAATTAACAAAATGTTCAACACCACAAAATGTCAATTCCATAAGTTGAAAAAAAAGATTCCTAATTTTGAAAATGTCCAAAATTATACGATGCCTTCAAAGTTACAGAATAAAAGATAATATAAAATCTCGGATATTACTTTATATTCTTTAAAAAGGCATTTGAAATGTAGACTTAAGAATTTAGCCGAGAAATTATCCAAAAACTTAGTTGATTCATCTGTGAATATTGTTATACAAAAATATTTAACTTTTAAAAAATTTCGCTCACAAAATATTGAAAGTAAAAGGAAGATACATTGGAGTTATTGTTTTCTAAATTTTTTATTTTGTCACTTTAGACATTTCATTCCCCTGAACATTCTGCAACTTTGGACATTTTGCAATAGGCTTTATTTCGTTTATCTTGGATGTTTTGTTTTTGGGTGATACCTGATTTGTAAATTTGAAGTTTTGATTTAAAGTGTTTTTTTGTTTGTTTTTTTGTTACTGGACATTTTGTTATTGGGTGTTTTGTATTTACTATATTAGAACAAATGAAGCAGTTTGATGAAACATTAGTTAGATAATAGAAATCTTGAGTTTTCTCAATACATTTTTGGAAAAGTAACTTACTTCATTCCTGCTTACTGCATATGGGAAAACTGCGACAGGAATATATTCCCAATCCTTGTATTCATCTTCTCCAATAGCAGCCAGCACTTCATGGTAGAAATCTTCTCCTTTTTTCAAAGCCTGTAAGCCACCCCGAAACCCAAACCGAGACACTTTGACTTCAAGACAAACAACTATCTTATATTCAGCAACTATGAGAAGAAAGTCAAATTCTCGTTGTAGTTGTTTTTCAGGTAGACCAAATAAAGTATAAAACATTTTGGTTTTGTAGTTGAACAATAGAGCTGTCCTTGTTGATTGAGAAATTTGAGTCAAATATGTCCAAACTTCATGTTCAGCACGCGCATTAGTAACGTGTCCCATAAAGTGTCTAACATCATTTTTTTCTCCTATTTCCACCTCTTTCAGCAATATATTTAATTTGTCTGGAGGTAAATCAGGGAATTGGATAGCTGTACCACTGGACAACCATTCTTCAGGAAATCTAACACTAACTTTCCTCAGATCTGGCAGATATTTCTTAGCAAACCGGTCTGCTGCTTCTGCTCCATCTAATTCTAACATATTTTCTATCTTGTAAAGAGGGCACCTTTCTTCTTGTAAGTTTACTTATATTCTCATAATCTTCCCTGAACAAATTTATAAGTTAAAGCAGTTTTTAAATCTTTAATCAATAAATTATCGGCCATTTTCTTGTAGGTCTGTGCATAGTAAAACCATGATTCACTTTCAAGAAAAGCCATGTTGGTAAGTACGTTCGGTTTGAAATGTAAAATCACTTGGAAGTAATATACTATAATAAGCTGTTACATAAAAACAGCAATTAATAAATTAAGTTTTCTTAATTAAAACAATAAGCAAATTCTTTCTTAAAAAAGATAATTATTACGGGCTTAATCCTAGAGAAAGATTATTGCCCCCACCCCCTTCATCAAAAAACGTACATGGTCCAAGTATATGAAATATTTTGTATTATTCCAGGGTTAGGTTAGGTTAAGACAAGTTCAGGGCCTAGAGCTGCCGCTCGGACTAGAGGTGGGCACAGTTTTTTTGAATGAACGAAAATTTTGAGAACAAACTAAATTTTTTGTCAAAAAGGGTGTAGTTTAGAAAAAAACAAAAGATGGACGAATAAAATGGATAGTTCAGAGAAATGAAAAAATAGATGAAAAAAATGAACGATTTAAAATCGTTCGAACGAGATTGATCGTTCATGAACGAGTTTGTTAGAACCAACGAACTTTTTGAAACATTATGAAAAAACAATAGTTTTTCTATTAAAATAACGATTTTTTCGAACACAATATTTAATAAACATTAGTTTTTTACTAAACTAACGATTTGAAAAAGGATAGTTTTTTCTGAACGAACAATTTTAATGAATGAACGATTTTTCTGAACAAACGAGATCGGACGATTTTACAAAACAATTGTTCAGTGGCAAAACGAACAAAAGAGAGGTAAAATGAACAATAATTTTGGGGAGAAACTAAATCAATTATTTTTGAACGATTGAAAAAACGAACAGAATGGGCATTTTAAGAACGATGGACGAACGAAATAAAAACACTGAACGCGGCCATGTACATTTTTGACCATGTACATTTTTTGATGAAGGAGTCCAAACATCCTTCTCTAGGAAAATACCTTGTTATATGAACCTCTTGTATAAATATTTCCAGTGGGGTGCGATGGGGAGGGGAGCGTATTCTAGATGTATTTACTTGATTTGATGTTACAGACAGGATCAACAAGAATATACTGTTAGGTTAGAATATCTAGTTCAGAGATAAGAGAGTACAGAGATGTATTAAAGGTGAGAATATTATTATTACAAAATAAAAAGATTGCAAACCTGACTCCAAAAAAGAAAGGTTTCATTACTCACCGGAAAAGATTTTTTGTATTCCGTAGGGTTTCCACGCAATGGCATTTTTCTTTGCAATTTGTTGCGCTAATTTTCGCGCAAAGTTTTTTTTTGCGCTATTGCGCATGACAATTCGAATTGAAGATTGCGTAATTTTGCGCAATAAAATCAAGCGTAATAATGCGCCAAAACAACCTTTTTATTGACTTTAAGCGTATTTTCAAGTGACCCTCCATTTCAAAAAAAAGAAGGGCATGGCCGAATCACACCCTTGAAACCTTCTGATTAATAATGTCAAAGATTTATTTAGCTTAACAAAGTATTTAATTATCTATTGCTTCTGGAGTAAGAAAATCCTCAAGTGAAAATACTTATAGTTTACAACAACATTGATATAAATCATACTTTATCAGAAAAAAAGCTTTTAGGAGTACCATTGTGAATTGTACATGACATTATCAATTACTTGAAATAACGTTTACGGTTCCTTTAGAACAAAATTAAGGGTCCGTATACATAATTGAGAAAGTTGTCGTCTTTAATTACTCGTTATAAGGAAAAGGTCAAATATGATTTATTCCTTTTCTTAATCTTTTAGTTTGGGACTGGGTGAGTGCAAACTGCAAAGCAATGCAATGTAGAATGTATATTGCCTGAGGAACCTGAGGAAGGGAAATGCAAGCAGATGTAATATTAAAAGAGCTCCCCCCCACGGGTACCCCCCCTCAGCCTCTCAGGGGGGCACACGTAGGGGGGGGCAGGGGCGCCCCCCCTATAAAACGTTTTTTCTCGTCTCCTCAGCATTTCTGATATTTTGATGAATTTGAGGAATCTAAAATGACTGGATATGTATATAGCCGTAAAGAAATATATTTATGTATATCATATCTATATATTAGGAGGGGTGTAAAGTTTAGTGATTGATGAATAATCTTTTTTTTTTAGGTGGAGGGGATGAAAAATTGGTAATTTAAAGGCTATTTTTTTCATCCTTAGATTCTTTTTACCCAACTGCAATTCTTTAATTTAAATTATATTAAAAGTAATCTCAAGTAATTCTTCATTTATAGAGTGGCATGTCCAATAAACATAAGTATTGAAAATTATTATTTCACATGTGGTTTCTTAACACAAGTGACTTACACATTTCTGCTTAAGAAACGATGGATGAAATAATAAGAATTAAAAATGTTTCCATCTAGAAACATGAAAATATCAGATAAAGGTTTCAACTGTCCCCATAATGTCCCCTCTTAAAATGAGGTAAAAAAATTAGTCCCATTTAAAAGTTTCAAACCTTTACAAATTATGATTTGTTTTACAAAGCTAATTTTAATCACTCTTGTCATGGTTTGTATACCTTTTACGCAGTTGATCTGCTCTCCTCAGATATACAGTGCTGTTCTATCTCTCAGGTTTACGTAGTTGATCTGCTCTCCTCAGATATACAGTGCTGNAATATGTGAAGTACACCTGCAGTATGGAAACAGTACAACAAAATGGCCGTTTTACAATTTTTTCTAGTAAATTCCCCTCTAATATATATTCTATTCTCTTTGGATGTCGTACTCATAGACCTTTGATATTTTGATACAGAAGTCATAGTTTGAAATATCAAAAGTCTACAACACATGCAAAGATGTAGAGATTAGAAAATTGTAATTTGTGGCGAATTTTTAGTCTTTTTTGTGTTTTTTTTATGTTACTTACAAAGTAAGTAAAAAAACGGCATAAGCTTTAGTTTACAAACCACAATGAAAATGTTTTCAGTGTTCATGTTTGGGGTTAAAAAATATCAAATAAAGTAAAACAAATGCTAAATTTGTTTTAACACAAACAACGCGAAATAAAATGTTATAAATTTTTTTTCTTTTTTTTTAACAAATCGATTAAAAAATCAGTTTTTTATTCTTTTCTAAAGTTTCATAAAAATCTATTGATGAATAAAACATAACACTCATTTTCCAATTGAAAAAATATTTTTGCATAAACATAACACTCATTTTCCAATTGAAAAAATATTTTTGCATTTTAGTAAGTATCTACATTTCTAAATTTTTCAACCAAAAACATGAACCATGCCAACTGAAGTTATGATTTCAATTAGTCAAATAAACATGAAACCCAGCAATTGTGTTGTGTTCACAGACCCGTTCCACTTAATAAGTTGATTTTTATGCTATTAGTAAATTATTCGCTTTATAACAGAAAATGCATATGTAAAATTTCTTAGATGTCGTCTTCCTTTTCCAGAGTTTTAGTGGGTTTCATTAAACAATGGCAAATCAAAAATCTTTAATGTCCAAGAAACATTTATAATATTTAAATTTTCACTAATAGCATGTTAAAAAAAAACTCGTTTACACTTTAGAAAGGAACTAAGTTTTTTTTTAATATACTAATCCCTACATCTTTCAAACCTGATGGTTTAAAAATGTTATATTTCAATATTAATGGTCAACGACATCGGGTTGCAAAGATATAGAGTTTGATATTAATCATCTGTCGAATCTCTTACATTGATAGATTAGAGACGTTTGGAAATGTTTTGATTGGCAGAATTATTGTTACACTTTTGAAATTAAAACTCAGCCCTCATAGCTTAACGTTTTATGAACAATATCTTCATCAGACATATATATAACGTTAGATTAATCAATTTAGTATTCAGAGAAAAATTATGAAACGTTTTGATTTACAGAATTACATTTTTTTTAAAGTTATACGTTACATAGTTAAGATTTATACTCTGTATAAAAAACTTTCGTTTCCTGATTATTAAAATAATAACCCATTTCTGCAACGTTGAATTTTTCATTATACTATAAGGGAAAACGTTTCAAAACGTTTTCATAAACAGTAATGCATTTTTCAGTTATACAATGTTACACTTTTTATAAGTTTAACTTTGAAATAGAAATCCTTTCGTTACGATATTCAATCAAATCAAAATTAATTTTTCAAGCGTTACACTTTCAAACTCCCCATTGAAACAAAACATTTCTTTATGTTAGGTTGTAGATATTAGAAAAATAATGTTACATGACCACAAAACGCTAACGTTGGGGGTATGTTCCTTTAACGTTAAAGTTTAACGTTAACGTTAGGTATAAGCTCCTATAACGTTAACGTTTAACGTTCACGTTATATAGAATAAATTAAAACGTTTCATATTATTGTAACGTAATGTACAAAAACGTACATTTTACGTTACTTTACACTATCGTTGACATCTCTAGTCTGCATTGACCCATATAATGCAGCACCATTATAGCCGTGGTCAAAAATGAGGCTTTTTAAAAAGCCTTGAGACTTTCGCTTGAACATCTTTTATAACTTTGTTGACTATTTCTGTGGTATTCAAGATTTGTTCCTGCCTCATGATCTGCTAACACACTTGATTAATCTCCATGACGGGGTTTTCAACTAAACCTACATCATACTATATACCACGCGTCGTCTGGTGCTAGGGCTGGGCACGTTCCGACTTTAGAGGTGTCCAAGACAAAAGTTTTGTAGAAAAGAGATTGTTGAAAAATAAAAAAATGACGATTTTATAATTAAAAGTTCCTCACGGCCAAAAATGTACTTTGAATTGTTTTTTTTAATTCAGGGTTAAAAGGATAAGTTTAGATCATTTCTGGGCCGAGCAATGTATATTTTTTATGAAGCTGAGGAAGAGGCTATATAAAGTGCTATAAAGTAATCATCGTGCAGTAATGTTAAATTAGCTGTACATTATAGCACGTGTACTATAAAGTTTTGATTGGTTTAGGATATTTCCAAAATATTTTTTTCAATTGAAATGAAAATTAAAATCAACTTTATATTTTGACTTCTGCTTTGCTCCAAAGCTTATTTCATCTAGAAACAAGTACACAAACGTTTCATAAAATTACCTATAACACTATTATTTTGGCACGCGTTGCAATGAAGTTTTTGAACAGAAATTTTCTCTTTATCGAGACAAAGCTCGGGAAAAAATAAAATCTAAATACCTTCTGGATAAAGAGAAAATTTCTGTCCAAAAACTTTTTAACACTGCGAACCAAAATAACAGTGTTATAAATAGTTAATTTTTATTCCTAAAGGTAGCATATGAAAAATATGTCATTATATCACGTTTAAATGAATTGTCCGTTGTACATTTAGATCATTTAAATTCCTAAGCATATATCTATCTACTCCTTCTACTAATCCATTCATTTTCAAACCCTTCTTGTAATTTATTTCATTCAAACGGTCTCATGAACTTTAATACTTTATATTCTATCATCTTAGTAAATGGTATTATGTAATGATAAATCAAAGCTTCAGTAGTCTTTTCTAAAAAGTCTAAACCAGAAATTATTGTGATTATATTTTTTGCATCTAATAAAACATCTAATAAATATTTCCCGTTTGAAGAATTAACCGGGATGAATAAGGTTTACTTAAAAAAAACTACATCAAGAAATACCTCTAAACAAATTTGCAGTTCTTAGTGAACATGTCTCGTATATTTGTTTACTCATGTAGAATTGGGTATTTGTTCTTATTCTGTTTTTAACTGCAAATGAGTTATATTTCTTTGTGTTACTGTTGAAGATGGATTAAAGATGGATATACAGAGGATACAAGAATAGATTATAGTCCTTCATTTCATTCCACACGGAGATATTGTTTTATCTATCTATCTATCTATCTATCTATCTATCTATCTATCTATCTATCTATCTATCTATCTATCTATCTATCTAAAGGAATAACAGAACTTTCGTTAAAACAGCAAAAAAAATCTATAGTCTATAGCTTTTAGATTTACTTTCGATAATATCTTTTTGGGATTTGGAAATCTAAAGCTAGATAATCTTATTTAAATAATTAAAAATTGATAACCTGAGGCCGCGTCACAAATTTGAGACACGGATAAAATATCACATGTAATTAT